GGGGGCAGCGCGGGCCCCCCACGCTTATCCCGGAGCTCCATGAGCGAGCGATGATACAGATGTACTGTAATATAGAGACGTTTACATATTGTTTTGCATAATCCCATTTTCAATATATATTTTAAACAAGTTTATTGGACATACATCACTATTAAACTCCCTGGCAAGCACCGTGCTCACGAGCGCAGCCCTGCACACCTGCAAAGGATGCTCTGAGGAAAAGCAGAGGGTCCCTCAGTGTCCCCCCCCCGGCTCCCTCGCGGTCCCCCCACAGCCCCCGGCTCCCTCGCACTGCTCGGACACCAGGAGGAGCCCGGGGTTTTATTGCACCCTGGCGTTACAGACTAGCGACCCCGAACGTCAGTGTGAAACGTCTCCGTGTGTTTTGCTCCTCCATCGCCGGGCAGAGGGGACAAACGGGGGGAAGATTGCAATAAAAAGGAGAGAGTCGTCATCACCATCATCATCATCACCATCATCATCTGTGCAGAAAAGGAAATCCAAGCCTACTGCTGGGGACGGGTTCGGGGCCGGCGGGGCCGGTAGCCGGGGCTCTCCCACCCCGCGCTCTGCTCCGCACGGCGCCTCTCGCGCAGGCCGGCCCAGGAGGGCTCTGGCTCTTCCCCCGCAGCCTCCCGTGCCACTTGCTGCGGACCCGTCAGTTGTGACCACAGGTTCCCTGGTCGTGGGGCTCTCGAGAAAGAGACTGACTGCTTGAGACAGATGGTGCTGGTATCAGGAACAGCGCTACGTTCTGTCCACGTGGTCCGGATCTGAATGTGAAATGTAGATAAAAGTCTCTTTATGCCAGCCTGAAATGCAGGCTCTCTCCCCAGGAGGAAAGACAAGGGCAGATCTAAATCTGTGTTTAGTTCCTCTCCTGTATGAACTGGCTCATCCTCAGGTGCAGACAGATCTGGCAATGTGGTGACACCTGCTTGGTCCAGAGCCCAAATCGCCTGCTCGAAGATAACCCTGCTGTGACAATGACAAACAGGTCCAGGACAGTGACACGTGAGCCGACCTCCTCCGAATCCCAGGGGGCTGCTGGTGTCATTCCTGTCTCCTTTAGCTCGATAGTGCTCTGTGCATCCTTTCACACACTTCCGTGGGGCCCAAAGTCACCATCATCTCAGCAACACTCGGTCCATGCTGAAAACATGCAAGAAGTCACTGTACAAGAGCAAAGTTGGGCTTTTCAGCACAAGTTCATGCACCACCATACAGGAAACGACACAGTGATTAGCTATCAGATTGCTGTTAGATCACGGGTAACTCTTACAAGCGGTTTAAAGACAAGATTCAATTTCTTTTTCTCCCCCCAAAGCAAAATGCAGCATGGGTCAAACGGAACCAAAAGGATCAATGCCACAGCATAAGCCAGAGTTAGGCTTTTAAGAACTTGTGTTACAAAACTTGTTTTTGAAGCTTGTGAAAACTCGCACTGCACACAAGAACACAACTTTGTCCAAAGCCTATAGCCTTGGTGACACTCTACAGCTGATCCTGTCTGGATCCTGTGCCTTTGGTCCCAGACCAAACACTAACATTCTGCAATCACAGAAAATAATGGCTGCTAAAACACCCGAAGGTCCCAGTGCCTCAGAACTTTTATTTTTTTTCTTACCTGCTTTCCACTGAGTGCCAAGCGAAGGAGCTTCATCATGCTGCTGTACTTGGTCTCTCTGCTTTGCTTCTGGAGGCTTTTCAGGTCTTTGTTCAACTCCTCCACAGTCAAAACAGCTGCCTGCCTCATCAGGAGCCTTCAGGAAAGAAGACACCCTGACAATGTGGGGACCTGGAGGACAGAGGATTCCTACCCACGAATTCCAGGACTTACACCACAGTCAGAAGGCTGAATGCAAGTAAGCAAATGTCTTAGACCAGCAGCTGCTTCAGACCGGCTTTGCAAAATCTTCTCGCAATGGAAGCAGTTAAGATACACTTTCCTTCATTCCATGCTGTGTCACGGCTCTGGCCCTGCTCCCAGTTTGCTGGTGATGCACACGGGGACAAGCCACAGGCTGGCAGGTGGGACCACTTTAACTTAATACTGGTGCTAAAGTCTTTGCCTTGCGGAACTGCAACTCCAGCCTGGTTCAGCATCGCGTTACCATCACGCAAACTGCACCGCACTTCACGCTTTACAGAAACCTGCCAGTGACAGTCCTCACCTGAGGGCATTAATTGAAAAGCTGGCAGCAGCCTTTCAAAGAAAAACGCACAGAATTTCTCACTAACTGTGAACTATTGCACATTCCCAAGCAAAGCAACATAAAAACTGTGAGTGTGACCAATACGAGTATGGCAGCTGAGCAGCAAAACTCTGGGTGAACAGGAGGGCGGGCAGGGAAGAGGCTGCAAGGAGACACTTACCCTGTGACTAGTTTCCCTATTTCGTCTGCTTCTGCAGAAATAGTTTGTAGCTGCTCTCGGGACACGGAGGGCCTAACCCATAGGTATGAATAATCACACGACACCAGGTCCTTCAGGAAGCTTATGTGACCCTGCCAAAGGAAACCAAGCTGTCAAGACTGAGGTTTAAGGCGCAGGGGGGAAAAAGGAGGAAACAAATTCTACATGCACTTTACAGACTGTTAGAAGGGGTCCAAATACACCACTGCCCTGTACTTCAGACGTGCTCAGAGGAAATGTGAACGCTGACATTTAGCCTGCCTTATTTTTCGCACCCACAACTAACTGGTGTGAACAGGGGGAGAGGAGCCCCGAGGGCTGCGGGCCGCGCTCGCCACGCTCCTCGTGACGAGGAGGAAGTCACATGTGTGAGCTGCCTCCACGGCCGCAGCACGAGCTTCATGTCGTAGCTGGCTGGGTCTTTCCCTGTCCTTATAAAGGATGCTTTATGCTTCAAGAGAAACTCCTCAGCTGACACTGTAGCATCCCAGGGGCCCTTTGCTATTTGCAGGCTGCAGCGCTTCAGATCAAACAACGTCCAGACACCAGATGAGCCTTCATCAAGGATCCCATAAAACCTCTGCTCCCCAGTGCTCCAGTCCCCACCACGTGGCAGCACGATGTTACCACATCTCATACTTTTCTCAGCAGAAGAACTCGCTCCACGTAACTCTTCTCCAGAACCTCTTTATCCACGTGCTGATCCCCGTAGACCCGCTCCACCAGCAGCTGCAGCTCCCTGATTAACTCCTGCCGGAGCCGCTCATTCTCGATATGGCGGGAGAGGTGAATCCTGCAACACAGAAAACTGCTTTGGGACTTTGTGCCTTCCAGGCTGGCTGAATCTGATCGTCTCAGCCTCACGGCATCCACCACTTTCATCTGTACAATTGTTAGAAAAACAGCATTAAACCAGATAGACACTGGAGAATAAAATCTTCAGCTCTACTAGACCACACGGAAAGATGTGGTAGCTGTTTTCTATGTGTGGCACAGCGAGAAAGCCACAGTTGGAGGATCAGCACCAGGACCACAAACAGAACCCCTGGACGGAGCCAAGCGCTTCTCGTCATCTGTGGATCAGCCAGAACTTTCTAAGTTTTCAAGTCACCGCTGCCATTAATACCTGCTGAATTCTGGGAGTTTTTCAAGATCCAGGAGGGCAGAATGGGTCGTGATTCTACCTATGTCAAACTGCAAAATCAGCTCCTCCAAAGTCCTCCCCATCTGATTCTCTGTAAAATAATCCGACAAGGGCATAACATGCATCCGTTCTCTGCACGGAACTCCTGTCACCGCTTCTCATTACCAGCCTCATGCTCAGCACAGGTTCTGTTGCCCTCCAAAGGAACAAGTGACCCTGGAGGGCTGCTCCTCCAGCATGAGTAGGAAGCAGGGACACAGGCCGGGGAGCAGGGAAGCTCTTGCCCCCGGCACACACGGGTGCCCCCGGCACAAGGACAGGCTCTGCTGGGGAACCAGCAACAGGGACACTGTGGGTGGCCCTGTCACACTCCGCAAGGAGACACCTCTTGCACCACTTGGCCCTGCAGAAGAAACACTCAGCCAGGGAGCTTCACTGCCCAGGAACTCCCAGGTACGATTCCTCAAACACACGTTCACCTGCGAACCCTGCACAACAAGGGCGACAAAAGGAGTGACTGACTCAGCTCCCCACAGTCTTTCAGGTTAAACAAGCAGTGTGGAAGATGTAACACACGACACTGCAATTGCTAACCACAGAATTGAAGCTTCCCCCAGAATTGGCAGGAGCTGCCTACCTGAGCGTTACCCCAGGCAGCAACCCACGAGGCACCACGCTCAGTTTAACAGTCCAGGCTGCACAGAACCAGGACTGCCACCACTCCGGCACATCACCGTCCCCTCCGGGGCTCTGCACAAGCACTGGTGGCATCGCAGTGACACAAGCACACTCACATTGCTTGCTTGACACCATTCCCTGATCCCCTCAAGCCCTATCCAAGTTACCAGAACAGATCTAAGCCTTTTCCCCAGAACATCAAGCAGTATCCTCGTCAATGCCCAGCCTGCTCTCGTTACCTGTGAATCCAGAGCCACAGTGGGTTATGATGTCCAGCAGAGCCTCTGGCATGTAGCCATCCCGAGCAAAACGTTCCAGAAAGATATCCCCTTGCCTTTTGGACAGTTTGGCACCGTCTTTGTTCAGCAGCAGCGGGAGGTGACCAAACTGAGGAGGATCCCAGCCGAAGGCTCTGTAGAGAAGGAGGTGCTTGGACGTGGAGGTGAGCCACTCCGTGCCGCGCAGCACGTGGCTGATGCCCATGGCATGGTCGTCCACCACGTTGGCCAGGTGGTAGGTGGGGAAGCCGTCCCCCTTGAGAATCACTGGGTCGCCCTCCACGTCCGCCACCTCGTGCCGGCTCCAGCCGTAGACCAGGTCCTGGAAGGGCTCCGCACCCCGCTCCAGACGGAAGCGCACGACCCACTCCGAGCCCTGGGACAGCTTTTCAGCCACCGCTTTGGGCGTCAGGTGCCGACACCGGTTGTCGTACCTGTGACACAGGAGAACGAATGTCTCAGTTCCATGCAGGCCTCTGCCTCTTTTTACATTCCCCAAACACCTATATGGACTCTAAATCAATTCCTAAATTGTAGCTTTAATCCTAAATCTACCCCCTACATATCCAGTCAAATCACTTCACCTCTGTAGGTCACTCCCCCGATCACACATAGGTTTTGCTGTCCTCTCCTCCTCCTGCACAGCCAGATTGTGAACACTCCCCAGTTACACTTATTGACCACTGCAGAAACAGGGAGCAGCAGCAACCAGGCCCCCCGCTCCCCGCTCTGCCTCTCGCCTTGGATGTCACCCTGAGGCAGAAGCGCAATAGGAGCAAACCCGTCCCACTGCTCTCGCTGCCTTTCAGGGCCCTGGCGCCACGGCCGCACGCTCCTGCGCTGGCTCCCGGCGCGCCGCGGCACGGGGGGTCCCTACCGCGGGGTCTGCTGGCGCCGCAGGGCCTCCTTCCTCAGCAGCTCCAGGCGCTGCGGGCTGCAGAAGCAGCGATAAGCTGCGCCCTTCTCCAGCAGCTCCTCGCTGGCTCGCTTGTAAAGGTCGAGTCTGTGGGACTGCTGGTAGGGGCCGAAGGAGCCGCCCCGGCGGGGGCTCTCGTCGGGAGGAATACCTGAAACACGGATATTTGACAGGCAACAGTCGGTAGAAGCCCAAGGACGGGGCTGCTCCAGAGCTGCCAGCACCGGACTCGCCTTCCCCATGCTCGGATTCATAGAATCATAGAATCATAGAATGCTTAGGGTTGGAAGGGACCTCTAGAGATCATCTAGTCCAACCCCCCTGCATACGCAGGGACACCTAGAGCACGTGGCCCAGGACTGCATCCAAGCGGGTTTTGAAGATCTCCAGAGAAGGAGACTCCACAACCTCTCTGGGCAGCCTGTTCCAGTGCTCTGTCACCCTCACTGGGAAGAAATTTTTCCTTAAGTTCCTATGGAATTTTTGATGTTTCAGTTTCCGGCCATTTCCTCTAGTCCTATCAGTGGCCACCACTGAAAAGAGACCATCACCGTCCTCTGCACTCCCTCCCTTGAGGTATTTATATACACTGATTAGATCCCCTCTCAGCCTTCTCTTCTCCAGGCTGAACAGGCCCAGCTACCTCAGCCTCTCCTCACAGGGCAGATGTTCCAGGCCCCTGATCATCCTTGTAGCCCTGCGCTGGACTCTCTCCAGCAGCTCCACATCCCTCTTGTACTGTGGAGCCCAGAACTGGACACAATACTCCAGATGCGGCCTCACCAGGGCTGAGTAGAAGGGCAGGAATTAACCCCAATATACAGCATTACAGTGCACAGTATGTAGAGTGAAGCCCTATTTTAAGTTTATTGACACAGTAATGGAAACATTTGTGGAATCCGGCTCTGAGTCTACAATAGGTCTGCATTTTTAAACCACTCTCATTCTTTTAGCCCTTAAACTTTCAGAAAGAATAATTCAGAATGAGAACTGGCATCCCTAGATCCCTTTCAGCAAAGCACGTGGATGCACCCAGTTTATCAGCCTGCAAGGAGGGCTGCGAGTCCCGGCTGCCGAAACGTGACCGGTCGCTGCTTCTACAGAACTCCCTTGCAGAAGGGGCTGCCTGCGAGCGGCCCATGACGGCAACTGCGTCCTCCCTACGTCCCCCGCTAATTCACGTCCCTTCGAACACCGCGCTGCTGGCTCTCATGCAGAACACCCTGGAGTTTGGCACTGCTGCTTTCCGAGGCTGGCAGAATCCCCCGCTAGGTAAAACGGGCAACGCGGGGCGGTAACGACCTGCCCATTCCAGCATGTCCTCGATCCCTTCGGCCGCGCCGGGCACCACGCGGCTCCGGTCCGTGTCTTCCACCCTCAGGACGAACCTCCCCCGGTGCTTTTTGGCAAAGAGGTAGTTGTAGAGCGCCGTGCGGAGGCCGCCCAGGTGCAGGAAACCTGTTCCGGGGGGAAGCAGAGCGGAGCGCGCGATCGGCGCGGGGCCGGGCAGAGCGGGGGGACGGGGCG